CGCACTTCGGATGCCCGATATGTCGCCGCTACTTTAACCACAAGATGCAACGTCGACCGTGCCATGGTTGGTAGAGAAATGCGTCTGCCCGAGTCGAAATTTCGGCTCTGTGTTGAACCTTTAATTCTACGACACCGATAGGAGATAAGAGATAGCAAAATAGGTTCAAATACAATTTTAATAATACAATTCATTCCTATTTTAAGCCTTAATGACGCCTTAAATTTGCCTTTTCGCTGGTTTCAGCGTCGAAATAGGTTGTTCAAGACGGCGTTAAAATGAAATCTTTAAAATCGAAGGTACAAGAGAGTGAAGTTAATAGTATCGTTATAGTATCATTATCGTCGAAGTAGGTTCTCATTAGTCTACAGGCGATCTAAGTAGACGCAAACTATCTTTAAGAGCGTCCAAGTAGTATAAAAATTTCGACTTTGCTTCGAAGAGCTTCCAACTGAAGATTATTACGTCCAATGATACGTTCTTTCTTTTTTTTTTTCCTTTCTTCTTGTGTACGGAACTTTCGCTGCCAGGGTTTACGCGGAAGACTGTCCACCGACCACCTCGTAATATATTTTTGCGTATAATTATGAAAAACAGGCTTGGTTTGGTAATGTGGACATAGGACGCAAAATGTTTACCATCGCACATATGTGACGCTGTTGACAAAACACAACCCCGTGTTTGTTTCTCACCGGAGAAAGTTTCATTTTTTGTCGGCAATTATCAACTTCAAGCGACCTGATGAAACCAGCTTGGCTCGGGATTTATATTTCAACAGTATGCGCGAGCGACGTAAGCTACATTTGCGGCAATTATATTCTGTTGCGCGTTGAGCGAAACTTCGAGCGATCAATATTAAAGTCGTGTTTTTCCGCGATATCACATTGATGTATATATTCAGGTAGTGATTATCATCAACTTCAATATTTTTCCCGAGCAGATTACTGATCGACGGCGACTCATGGGCGTTTTCCGAAGCCGGAGTCGTTACACGGCAGTTTCGTAATGCGTAATTGCTACGGGCTTATGCGCTTTCGATTCCCGACATACGCGCGCTCTGAAATTGCATTACGTGGTCGACGCGACTTTTTCGCTCATACGTTAACCCGTGATATTTCCACTTCGGGGCCACTTCTCGGGGCCGCTTGTTTAACAAGCGTTACCATATACGCGCAAACAACGCGGTCGCTATCAACGGGATCGAGCCATATTCGTAATTAAAGCCGCGCGAAGGCGGCCGTACGTACACTGCACGGTCAAGCTTTACGTTCTCCTGAATCGGCCGATAAGCATCGCGCGACGTCACGAACTTCACCTAATAGAGTCTAAATTGGCGAACGTAAAACGCGAGATAGAAAGAGAGGGGAGGAGAGAGAGAGAGAGACCATTGTGCATCTCGGCGAACGGTGCATAAATTCTACGTTTATCCCCGCCGACTTGTAAATGAATTGCCGCGTAAAGTACAGCGGCTGTGTTAAGATTTTATGTTCCCCGACAGTATTATAAGCTTAATGTTATCATATTTTAGCGGGTGCTTTTCGTCGAAACCATGTCGCGCGAATGCAGTAGCGAACAATTTAACAAATTCCGCCGTGCACCAGCGTTAGAACGGTGTCGGCTACTATATTTATGAGACGCGGAAATTACGGCCCGTCAACTCCGGGCACAGATCACTTTTCGGTGAATCCGAATTTTCCCACTTATAATGTACGCTCTATCGCGCTCTCGGTTGGTGCACCAATGCTGTCTCATTCCCTAGACACGGTGACATTGAAAATTTCCAATAGGCGTATCACTTCTGTATGTTTATATATCATGACTGCTGCTTTGCGTCGGTCTGCATTCAGAAATGATGATGCATCTTATTGGAAATTTCCGATGTCACTATATCTAGGGAATAGGATTAATTGAATCTTTTGCGGCACGTAGAAGCCAGCGAGTAAATCATGATGCTGGCATACAAAAATGTTTATATTTCAGAAATGATTGAGCTTTCGACCTATGTTTACTAAGAATTTTTTATTCATCGTAGTGTGTATTACCTGCCATATAAATATTGAATGTTTTTTTTTTTAACACCCTATATACAATATTTCCTTCGTATAAGTAGACATTTACTTCTGTGCTTCTGTGTTGAAACAATTTCGACAAATGTTGTGTTTATAATATTAAGAAAATCAGATTTCATTTCTAGAAAATATTGGACAGAAAAATCGAAGCTCAAAACCATTCGATTTCTTCAGTGGAAAAGAAATATTGCATGATTCTAATAAATAATCTCTCGAATTTAGAATCATTTTGTATACATTCGATGATTCATTTACAAATTAAGATATTACTTGCTTTGAAGCAAGTATTTACTACAAGCTGTTAAAATATATTTAAATTGATAAAAGTATTACTTAATTTAAGAGATTGAAAAACAGGTAATTATGTTTACTTGATTCTGCGATTCTTTTGTTTTCTGTGTTACTTCGCAGGAAGTATTACACGACACTGCCGGCCCGAACGGGAAATTGTGCCCGTTCGATAAATTATTCACCGAGAATCAGCATACTGGTATCAGATGAGACATAATTCGTATGTATGTACACGTATGCGTCGCAAGGAGAGGAAGTCGGATTCAAATCCGCACGGTCAATTGGTGACGCATGATAATCTAGCGATAATCGAACGAAGCAGCACGGCGAAGTTAGAGACGGCGATGCGACGGGCGTCACGCTTACATTGTGGTAATCGATGGCACAGTGGAAAGAACCATTTACTGCCGATCGTAAAGACGAATGATTTACGATTAAAGGTGTTTGTAAACGAAAAATACAGCTCGGTTGCTCTTCCGCGTACGGCGCAATTGCGCAAGTTTCTTATCGCCGTATTTCGTCGCCGTACAATCGGCCGATAATCGCGGCCGTGCGCGCACATGCGTTTAAATACTTCATCGGAAATATTTGATACTAGTTGGGATTTTTTTATGTGTGCGTAGCTTCTCGGAAATTCTTCCGTCCACGGCACTCGTGCGAACGCGTGCTCTGAACCTGCGTGGTATCGTTCAAGCTTCAAGCTTGTCACGCGCGATCTCGACTTAATTAATTTCGAAGCTCGAAGGCCTCTCTCGTCGGGAATTTTGAAGTCTCATCGATCGTCGAGTTACCTAAAATATACGTAGCGCGGTAATGAAAATTTCGCTATACAAGACAGCTCGAAAAATACCCGCAAGGTGATCCCCTTATTAAGATCATTTTCCGCAAAATCAAACCATGAAATGTCCAAAGCAAGCCGGCAAGCGGCAATATTTTCCTAATTCAATGTTCAGCGAGAGCGACGGGAATACCGTGGGTTGCGCAAAATATTTTTACGCCATTTACGATCGACAGGCGACGTTAAATGAGCCTTCGTCAAACTATTCCGATGGAATAGTCTTTCCGGATCGCTCATTTGCTCGATTGCGGGCCCCGTGGATTCCTATTTCGTCCCGTTATTGGCCGTATATCACCGGCCGAGCGCGGGCAACGCATAACGCGTGTGCATCCAGCCGCGCATTAAGTGTCGCGACGCCAGTAAAAGCGCTGAAAAATCGGGAGTACCGCGGGACATTTCGGCCGTGCGAAGGCGCGGCGCGCGGATAAAACGATCGTAAACCAGGTGACGTTTGAGAGATTCCGTTGCGAGGTATTTTTGCGAGCGACGAACCGGTTGCTATCAGCGAATATAGCCGCCTCGCAAAGGGTACCGCTCGCGTCTCATCGACCGTTCCTTCCCCAACCCTTTGTGGAATTAAAGACTAACACCTTTTATGTTTGTCTTGTTCGTTCGTTAGTAGTTTGTCGCTCGTGATATTAACAATCACTATTTCGGTCTGCTGTTCTATAATTAACTGGAGGAGAAGGTGGTATTATCACCCCACATTTATATTTTATTTCCGCACAATCACTTTGTCAATAATCAATATTATTCATTGAAAACTCAACGATCGCGTTCGTCGTAGTGTTGTTCAATCAACTCTAAGCTCAATGTTATGGAATATTTTTTAGTTAGGATGTTAATTATGAAAATATGACGACATTGCAAAATGGGTCGAAGAGAAATAAAGGTGGCAATGTGATCTCCCACTAAAATAGATGAAAAGGATTGATTTTGTTTAAAAAGAAAAAACTGTTTTGTTACAAATTTATATATTTATTCAAAATAAACTTTCGGAAGGAACAGCAATGAATGTAACCTTGAATTTTTAATATAGATATTGACTTACTCTTCAGAAGGTAGAAACTACCAAGAAGGCAACTTATATAAGACGAATAGACTTTTAAACTTAACTTGAATTATTGATTTATCGAATAACTACTTCGACATAAAAAGAGGCTTCGAAATAGAGGCCATATTAAATCTATTTTTAGTTGGGGGGGGGGGCAAATTAGCAAAGTGCTATGTTTATCGTTTGATCTCATATAATTCGAAATGTGTATAGCGGAATGAGGTATTAAATAACGAACAAAATATTTAAATGTATATATATATTTGTGTTATAATACGCCCAAGTTTAAGAAAAATGAAGAAATATGTATAATTAAATGCTAAAGTTCTACCTTGAAAACGTTTCTAAATGCTCGAAAATAAATATGCGTTATAACAAATATCAGCTGTTTTGTATTGGCATGTTAACGCCTCTACATAACGACAGACTACTAAATAAATGATTTCGTAAAGTAATCGTTAGAATTCGTTACCTAAGGCGGGATATTAAGGAGGGCCATAATACTACTTTCTCTAATAAATTCGTCTCACACAAAATGCACGTTCTACATTATTATAAATATAATATCATAAAAGCGAGAGACAGCTATTTTCACTAACGAAGTCAACATTTAAATAAATAAATAGAAGAGAATAAGCCGAAATTCATGAACTGCGAATCAAACCGTCCCAGATTCAGAATCCCAGAACATAGAATCTGTGTATGTGAATCAATTTATTCACGTCTATTGTTTGTCTGATGATTACAGGCAGAGGAGCACGGCTTGAAAACGGAGCGAGAAGGGGGAGAAACGGGGGAGAAAAGGGCAACGAGCAGAAGACGTAGAAAAGTGAAGGAAAAGTAAGCAGAGGGTGAGAAAGGGCATGAAAAACACGGATACAGGCACGAGCCGAGGTGATTCAATAGGTGGTAGCGAGCAATCAAGAACGGAAGACGAGTGTAACCCAGAACGAAGGGGCAGTGTAAGGTGCGAGAAAGCGCGGATAGGGACTTCCAATTTCGGCAGTCCACTTTCCGCTACCGGATGTCGGGCCGACAGCACAAGACGGAAGGGCGATCGTGGAAGGACCGAGCAATCGCATTAATCCCCACTTGCAAATAATTCTTATATACGCGGGAGTAAATAATACCCGTGTCAGGGACCTATTGCGAGTGCTGGAGCAGAAGAGTCAATTTCAAGTGGAGGAAAACAACAGAGTTTTTCGACTTTACTCGGTCGACAATACGTGAGTTATCAATTATTATTTTCGTCAGTTTTATCGTCGATTTAATATTAACGGAGAGGAAATGAAAGAAATAGGAGTCACTATTTATTCATGCGTTATTTGTGCTGCATCATATTCGTTCACGTGATGTTTACTATATAAATCTGTTTCCTCTTGTAAATCATCGTAAAGTTTCGTAGACGTTAAAAAATTAATATCGTATTGAGATCGTAGGCAATCAATCTTCCTGGATAAGATTCTGCAGTAACGCAGATATACGTTGACTTTAAAACACTTTACGAGATACTTATTTACTTGGCTATTAATCAGAACATTCCTAAGCGTCTTAAATTAATGCGTTTTTTTTTTTTCAATCGCCGCGAAATTTACACTACGACGAGTATAATAATATGCTCGGTAAATCGGTCGCTATTTTTATCGGAAGCTTTCGGCGGCTTTTATGATTTCGGCATAAACAGCATTCAGCAGGAAAGGTTAACGAAATAAACGTAAAAATATTTTATATTGGACGCGATTGCGCGTGCTAAGGTCGATTGCACAATTCCATTAGCTGCGAGTTTTACATTGGCAAGATAATGCTTAATTTGTCCATTACGAACGGCGCATTAAAATTTAAATTTTAATCGTCTCCGATGAATCCGATATCAAAAATGTAACGCATAATGTGTTCGTTACGAATTACATATTCAAATTTTCATGGACAATTGGCCAGTCACTGGCCATTAAAAATGTAATCTTTGATTCCCGGAATCCGCATAAAAGTTTCATCAACCTATATGCATGAGTTATCAGTCGTATCATACGCAACGCGTAAATTATGATAAATCCGGCTACTCTTAACGCCATCTTGAATTTAATGTTTCCGCATTGACGTTTCTGAAGAACGATCAACGAGCATTCCATAAATATCACTCTGTACACGCACAATGAAAACTTGGTGTAGTTTATTTAGCGACAAATTGTAAATTTGTTAAAGCAATTTGAGTTGAACGAAATTAAGGGGCACTGTCACTTCCAGGGACGACGAAAGGAGACGCCGTCCGCCAGCCGTCACATCTCGTTGTCTCCGGTTCAGCGTTTTCAGGTACCGCTTTCAGGTACCTTTCAGTCATGACGCAAGTACTATGGAATCAACCAATGCAGTGTATCAACGCAGTGTACCTTTGTATCTGACGAGCGACTTTCATTTTGGCAATCACTTCGGGTGGTCGGTTGAACAACAGCTGCCGCCGCATAAAAGAGATTCGGTTTGTCCTGGATATCGAGCATCGATTAATCCCTCGGAGATAAAGATAACGGTGTGTTGAACAAATAATCGGCCAATCGGCCGTTCACGTCGGCGCATCATCAACAACGTCACACTGACGGGCTTAACTTGAAGCGCGTCGGGCGTTTACGGTAATACGACGAGTTCACACCCACCACAACGCTTGGCCTACAGCGTTTGACGTTTTGATCGCGCGGCTCCAAGGTTGCTCGCTCGGAGTCTTCGAGGAGAAGCGGAACGTGAAACCGAGTGAAAGGGTGAGGAGACGAAGTGAAGTGAGAGGGTGTTCTCGTGGAGTGCCAGAGTGAGCACGATAGCACCTCTGGTGCCCTCGGCCGTGGGTCCCGAGGGGACGGACGCCATGGCGGCCTCTTCATCGTCGAGCGGCGAGCAGCAGTACTCACTCAGGTGGAACGACTTCCATTCGAGTATTCTGAGCACATTCCGGAATCTGAGGGACGAGGAAGACTTCGTAGACGTCACGCTTGCCTGCGACAGTAGTAGCTTCACCGCGCACAAGGTCGTTCTCTCGGCATGCAGCCCGTACTTCCGGAGATTGCTCAAGGTCAGTATGCTTTTCATTTTGTAATCGCAGACGAAACTGTCACTGGGCGATATCTCGCGGAGACTTGCGTCATCCCTCCATGTAAATTCGAGCGATCCTGCGAGTGAATTGCAGCGCGCATGGAAATGACGTTTACATTTAGAGATCGTACGGATATCATTTTCGCCTCATCCAAGATTGCGCTCCGATCGTCGACCATTTAGCTTGCCAGTGGAATCTTGCAAAAACTTCTGCAAGCTCAGCGACGAGAATTTTCGTTAAATGACGATGAGAGAAATAATATTTCTCACCGGTCAGCTGCACGTGTACGAGAGTGATGTGTAATTCGATCGTAAAGTAGGAAAGTCGAGTCAAGGTCGTACATGACACAATGTGCGTGCAGTAATATTGCGGTGGCGTAACGAAATCAAGCTGATAATCGCAAACCGCAGTACATATTTACACTTTTTACTCGCGGAAACTGATATCTTCCTTCTTTTTTTTAAGAGCATTTACGTTATGGCTTATTCGACAGAATGTAAATTTTATTCTGCATTTTTATGATCCTGACTCAACAGCTCTTTCGAAAGACAATTTTTTTTCTTATCGCAGAACGACACATAAAGAATTGTTTAATTTTGTTAATATATAAAGAGAGAATCGTTCAGTATCTACTTTTACGACCATAAAATTGCTATTTTGCTTCGTCATTTTTTACAAACGTGTTTCCGAATGTCTGCGCTCGATAACGTCTCTCGATACAACGCACGTGTCAAATTTAAATGTGACACGTCATTTATTGATGACGACGAATGCGTCATGCCGGCTCGAATTTAGAATGGTATATCATTAAGTTTAGTCGCTCCAGTAATAATTTCTACCTCAAGACTGGCCGCTAATCTTGGATGGTTAATGGGGATAGTCAGTGACGCCGGCGTTTCATTTGCGCTTCGATATTCTATATTAAGATCTTTCACACGAGTAACACGTGCAAATTTGCAAACATATTGCCGAGGTATAAGGCTGATAATAAAATAGAATAGATAAATATTATTTATGTAAATTTATATAAACGAACCCCAAACAATATCATCGTATGATAATATTTTATCGTACTGCATATCTTACCATAAATGTAAGAATAACCATGTAGAAGTACCTTAACTGATATATTTTCAATTTATAAAATAATATGAAGATCAAAATGAACGTAGTTTCATATTTATCGGTTTCCCTAATTTTCAGTTATAACATCGATATTATTGTGATTATTGCGATTAGATTCAGAATTAATACGTTTAAATGCAGCCAATGTAGATATTCTTCACACTTTTTGCTTAGCATTATTAATTAACATTAACATGATTAAAATGGTATGTTTAATCGCACGTAGTTTTATTGCGAGAAAGGAAGAACGATATTCTTTCTTCTTAAGCAAACAAGGTCTTGAAACGCCTATTGTCGCACGTGCTCTGACATTTTCCAGTTTGTAATTAAGATCGAGATATTCCATAAATATCACGCCAACCATCGTCGTTTTTACCGTTAGCATTTGGCAGGTCCGCGTAGTTCACGCGAACAAATGATAGGGGACGCGATTTTTCGATGTCACGGTTTCAACAAGGGTCAGAGAGAAGTTTTATGCCGCTTGGGTGGGTAAGTTAGATGCAAATTGCCGAGAGGGAGGGAACAAAAGAAAATCAGAGGAAAGGCAGGTATTTTCTGACGAGGTAGGGTAGATAAAAAGCAGATACCGCGACATACCACAAAGAATTCGCAAGTCGCGGTTTCCTGTGTCCCCCGATATCTCGGTCGGCAGAAATGTAGAGGTAGCACACGACTGTTATCTCGTAACCTTTCATTGCAACGTATTACCGAAAATTGTCAATTTAAAAAGATATTAATTTTACAGTTGCTATGTTAACGCATTTAGCGACTACGATAAATAATGTATTTTGCGTAATGCATTCGTAATTCAACATTGCCGGGCGGCTGTGAAACTGAATTGAATCGCTAAAACGCATGAAATTATCAATTAAAGCAATTTTGCGCCCTACGACTATTCTGTATTTCGCCGGATTCGCGTCCCGGCAGAAACTAGTCTTCGGACAGCAGCGCGCTTCTGTCGAGCACGTAAGGTAGCGCGCAGGTGGATGAAAGTAACGCGAGAATCTTGTTCCGCGCACGTTACCGCAATCGCAAATTATAATAACTCCGCCAGTAATTATATACTTTAATTGATTTGAACAAATGCGCGAGGCTAGCAGCAGACCGGTTCTTGCCTCATAAATCTCATACGTTACAGATCGTCGTAAAATCAGCGTGAGCGATTGTAATTTCGCTTCTCCCACATTTTGCCACGCACACACGCACACACGCACACACACACACATATACGTATACACACTGATTAAACGGCATCCATATTTATTCTGCATTCTACATTCTACATGTACTATACCGCTAATAAAATTTTCAAGACAATAATTCATTATTAATTTTTGTTTTACATATACTCGAATGACTCGGTACGAAAAGCATAATTAATTACTCGACTAATTATGAAATGCGATTTAGAAACTTTTATATTTGCATGTACATACACATATACGTGAGCTGAATTGACATTTTTTGTCAAGAGGAATTGTCCCTTTGCGCAACTTCCGCTGTATCGGTATTATTTTCCGTAATTGTAGAATGAAATGCAGAAAGAAACGCCGCGTTCTTTTTGCCGCGCGATTTCTCATACGACGTAGCCGGCGGAAGCAAGGTAAGGCATGATTTGACGAACTTCCTGTTGAATTCTCGTATTATTCCCCATTGGTCTTCCCGGCTCGAAGAAAGTCCACCCGAGAGCACGATAAATAGAGCGCGCCACCTCAAGGAAATGGCGGTGGGAATCGATCAGGGGAAAGTCCACGAAATGGATGCAGTCGACGAAAGATCGCGACTCGTCGTCGTGGTGATCGATGGTGTCTCGCGCGCGCGGAGAAAAGGGTGGATCTCCGTAACACGGCGACTCGGACGCCACGTTATTATGCAAATCGAACCGGAAGTCCTTTGTGGGCCCCTCCTATCAACAAGGATACCGTGAGATTGCCCACTTCCGCCGGCAATACCGTCGGATCACCTCGGCAAGATCTCAGATCGGTGGATCGAATTCGTCGTTCGAGTGGAAGTAGAACGAAAATTAATAACCGCTTCGAGAAGTATCGTCGAGGGCGTAGCCCGGCTTCGTTTATCATGCCGTTTATACCGCGACGATAAATAGCAACGCGAACGAGACGTCTCCTCGCCGAATCCTCGCATTTGCATACGCCTCTCCCCGAGATTTATGCATCCTAAACTTTCAAATAAATTTCGCAGTTCGCGCCCAGCCGCGCGCAAAGAAGCGTTCGCGAACAGCGGCCGTTCTGAAATCACGACGGCGTTTAGCAGGCAAACGATGTCTCTCGTCGACAATTATTCCGCGTGCGAGCGAGCGAGCGAGCTACTCGGCCGTCTCGCGCGCTAAGAGCGACGGAGTCGGGTGAAGCGACCGACTTTCTAATTGACGCGTACCACTAATTGATTTTAAGTGTCGGCCAGTACTTGAGGCGAGTTAATAAAGCTTACACGCCAGCCGAGCTGTGCTTACGTCACGCGGCTACGTGGACACACAACGATGGCGCAGGATTTTATGCCGTATCGCTTGAACCGCCGAACACAATTACATTAAGGCCAGCCGGCCACGTTGTAACGACGGGTGAGTGAGTGAGTGGAGTGATAGAGGGAGGGAGAAAGAGAGAGAGAGAGAGAGAGTAAGTAAGGGAGCGAGAGAGAACGGAAGAGAGAGAGAGAGAGAGAGAGAGTGTCCACCGGTATTAACACTCTTCTTACAACAAGGCAGCAACAGCAGTTACCATTATGCCTACTTTAAAGCAGACGTTCCACCGTATTACCCGCTTTTTGTTTGCCCACTTGCGCGATGACGTAGGATTCCGTATTGGTTTCGACGATCGCCTACTTATTGTTGGCATATAAACAGCGCCGGCGTGTAAGGCTACGGTCAATATGGCCTCGATCGCAGGCGTAATCGACGCCAGCAGTGTTATATGCGAGCCATTCTCGCATGTTCGCGAGAGAGAGAGAGAGAGAGAGAAAGAGATTTCACAGTATCGTGACCGACGATAAAAATAAAAGTACAGCGAAATGTATGTTTTTTCCTTTATTATACGAGCGATTATATCGCCAGATCGGATGAATTCCGTGCGGCATAATAATGATAACAATAATAGTAAGCTCGCTGTGCGTTTGTCGGCGAGGAAATGTCGAATAACGATTGCGTACGGTACTTTCCGCCGGAGATGCTAGTAAATACGAGGTATCGCCGACGGTCGACAGCAGCGTAAAAACGCGCCGAATCTTCTCGATAGAAATCGCAATAACAAACTATCGCCTCGTTACAACAGCGTTATCCCGGGGCTATTTTTCCAGGAATATTTACCGCTACTCTGGACACTTTATTATATCATTTTCATTTTATTTCCCGTATTAATTACCGCGTTGCGTTAATCGGTCCGCCGTTTGCTTGATAATTAACGCGGCTCGATAAGCGCCCCACGCTCGTTCGCTCTCCCTCTCGCTCTCTCGTTCATTCAGTTTCGGTTCGCGTTGCGAGCGTATTCTTCTCCGAAAATATTTTCCGATTTGATTTGGCAGGACGCGTCCGATACGTAACGATAACGAAACCGCCCGAAAGCAGTCCTGATAGAGGCGCACCTGTACGATGGATGATTTATGCGTCGGTGCATAGGCGCGGCGATTTACGACGGACTCGTTCATTTGACTATCGGCCAGAAGTCGATGACGAATCGCTCGGTTATCGAACCGAGTCCGCAATGATATTTGCCAAAATATGAACGGCGGTTGTACGCGCGCGCGAGTTTCGACGATAACAAATGCCCGCGCGATACGTCGTTTCGCGCGTAAGCGACGTCCTGTAAATCGCAATAGCGGAATCGGTCTCCGCCCGATATAGG